TAGATCACATTGAGAGAGTTGCTTGAGAACACCCTTAATCAACTAAGTCAATTGATTTTGCAAAAACTAATAATCGAGTCAATTATAATTTTAGTGTTAATAGCATCTAAATATCGCTATTTTTGAACAAAATAGCTAAAAAATCTTTAAGCTTTTCAGATTAGTAAGTATAGTAAATAAAACTGCAAAGATGAGTGTAGATGTTAGCGTAAAGTTAGTTGTGTTAGAATAAATATTTTGATTCAGATTTATATACTGTATATAGTATCTCTTCAGATTTAGTGTATATATAGTTTTAATTAGATCTTGCAAGTTTTAAAAATAAAAATGTTTCGTACTGTAAAAGTAGTTTATTAACGAAATTAAAGCTTATTAATATTTTATGATAAATGTTTAGAACCAAAAAATTACATTACAAGTTTTTAATAATCACCTTGCTACTTCTGACATTTGTTGGTAGGAGAAATTAAGATGAAATTGACTTTGTTTACATTACAAAGAAAGAAGACAAATGGTTTAAGACATGGTTTGCAAAAGTCTCCTGATCTTAACATCATTGAAAAATTTTCAAGAAACGTGAATGATCTCAAAGGAGAAGTGGACAAAATTCGATAGGTTTATTCTTTGAGCAGTAAGTAGTTATATTTAATGCCCAAAGAATCAACAATTTATATAAAGTATTGAATGCATGGAACAGTCAATAAAGCATAAATTCGTTATATGTAGCATAGAAATGATATAAATTATGTACAGTACATACCTAAAATTTCATTTAATAAAAAAAAATCGAGCGTTATTTTTGATATTGTACATTACAACATATAGATAATTAAACTATTCATATTTTATTATATGCATTTTTATTAGCATATGTAATTTTTTTTTATAATTACTATTTGTAACATTCTTTTTTTTTGTTTTTTTTTATATTATACATTGCGAATACTGATGAATGATGCACTTTTCATTTTATCTAGATAAAAAAGTTTATAAACCTATTTTCACCAATTCGCTCTTCTCCTAGCCCTTTCACGTCTAACAAATCGTTTTTTCCATCCCATCTTATTAAATTGAGCTACTTTGCTAGCTTCATATATTTCCCTTCTTTCATTTGATAAAGGAGCAACTTGCCCGACGAATAATGAACTGCATTGAAATTTTTTTGCCAATTCATTACATGTCCATTTTTCAGGATCTGAAAGTCTCAATTCTCTCATTTCTTTTATATCATCTTCGGTAAGTTTGCGATGATTATTTTCTTTTGGTGGTTTAAGTGGTGGTGGTAAATTATCCATTGTAATCGTTGGTTTAGCTAGAGGAACTCTCGATATGAATTTACTTCCATCATCAAGAATTGTTTCATAGTAAATTGGTGCTGATAATTTTGAGGGTTTAATTGGTTTTCGGGCGGTATATAAACGATTGATTATTTTATATTTAATATTACCACCAAATAAGTTTATTTTAACCTGACCAA